ATTTGTGAAGCTTCAGAATGCTATTGCCGATTATCTGAAGGTAAACGATGATCTAATCATCTTTTGCGTGTTTTGGGCGCTAACATTAGTGTATGCAATGTTTTAGGCAGTTCTAAATAACAAGAACCTATGCACAATTTTCAATATCTCTCAGCTTTACTGTCTGAACGATCTCACAGATTACTGCCTTGTATTCGCAGATCAGAATGCATCTGAAGTCCTGACAACGCAGGTGAATTGTTAGTTACGACGATCCTGGAGAGTTGATCTCTTGAGCCCGTATATGTTTTTATCCCTGAAACAATCAGAAACTGTTGCAGGGCTAAAAACGAAACACGCTCAAAAGAACAACTCCTAATTTGAAGTGAGTCAGAAAAATCCTCTTTTTTTGTGCGTTCATTTTTAGAATTATTATTTGAGTGAAAAAAGAGCATCTAGAAATTGCAGTCGCAAGCAGTTTCATATTCGCCTTTGTTTGATTCAAAAAATGTTGGCGGTTTTTAAGGGTTTCCTGCAGCTGTCTCTTAATGCTGTTACTCAGTTGATAGCCAGGGACTCTTTCTGTGCATCGGAAATCGATATCTTCTGCGCGATTCGGGATTGGGTAAAGGCACGTCCGGAAATGCAGGTTAGATTTTTTTCTTCACCATAACATGGATTAATTATTTCATTTGTTGAAGTCGGCCGCAGCGGAAATGTTGACGAAATGTCTTCGACTTTCACTCATAAGTCAGAGAGATTTGCTGAATATTGTGCGCCCATCGGGCCTTTTCCCTCCCGACACCATTCTTGATGCTATCGAAGAGCAAAGCAAGAAGCGCACAACTGATCTTACCCATCGTGGTTTTCTAAGTGAGGCAGAACTCAGATACTCTTTTAAAGTGTTTTTCGTAATTTAGTCACAGTATCGTTTTTCCTTATCCTTTAAATTTTCCAATTGGCGTTTTTTTTTTGCAGCCCCAAATACTAACATTGCGACCGCTCAGCTTGGCGCTACCGTCATATCTGGAGAGGCACCAAATGTACTGCTCAGTGAAGCTGGAGGTATGCATTGCCATGATGACATTCTTTGAGAATGAGTTTTGATTCTTTATCTACTGTCTAAGAGCTAGTTCCTTGAATCGGCTGCCATTATTTATCTATGCTAACAATCATGTCTTTCCTGAAACTGTCTGACCTTTGACTATTTGAGCTTTATTTTTGGAAGTATTCCTTAATAGCAAGTTCCTGCCGGTTTTGGTGCCATCTTTCGAATAGTGACGTAGCGAAAAAAGGACCAACCATACCGAAATGTTGGACCTAACAGGTTTTTGGATGCATGTTTTTGGCGTTATGTATTCTCAATGCATATTCAATTGATGCTGTCGGCTGAATAGAAAGTTTTACATAGTCTTACGTTTCTTTTTCTTCGCTAGTCTTATGTTCTTCTTTTTGAGCAAAATGACCTTAGGCCAAACTTTGCCTTGTTACTTGCTCTTCTTAAAACTTCAAGGGAGTTTTCTAAGTGAAGATCGTTTATTAAGGTATC